AAAAAAAAAAAAAAAAAAAACCGTAACTTCACAAATATAAAAACCCACAACCACACACAACATCTTGCACAGTTGCACTAAACCAATTAGACTCCTCCAAAAAAACACAAAAACCTAAATCACTCAACTAACCTTACAAAACCCAAAACTTTACTACAACATCCAAACCCATGGCCACCTTCTCCTCCTCCTTGGCCCTCCTCACAACCCTCCTCCTCCTCCTCCTCCTCACCGGCCCGCTCGCCCGTGGCTCCCCCACCATCGACAACGTATGTCGTCAGACGCGCGACCCACCTCTCTGCACTCAGTTGATCACTTCAGACCCGCGGAGCGAGACGGCCCCACTCCCGGACATAGAGGCCTACACCATCGACCTCGCGGCCTATCGTGCGGGCAACACAAAGATCGATATCCACAATGCCTTCATTCGGGCCACGGGGGACCTCCGGGACCGTTACCTCCAATGCGAAAACCTATACCTCGACTTGCTCGATGCCTTCCGGGCGGGCCCGGGAGAGCTCAAGAACGGAGAGTTTGGACAGCTCGTTGCGCTCGGGGAGCAAGCCACGCAGGCGGCCGACGGGTGTGAGGCTGCCTTCAGCGGCAGCTCGCCGGTTAGGGATGGGGATTTGGTGGTTGGGGTTCTTGGCCAGGCCATTAGTGTCATTGCAAGGAATCTTTAGGGTTCTTTTTTTTTTGTATTCTTTTTTCTTTTTTTTCAATATGGTATTGTCTTATATTTGAATTGTATTTCAATATGTCTTGAAGTTTTTCAAATTTATGTGACATTGCAATACTATAAAAATTAAAATAAAAAAAAAATCAACATTTTTTCTTCATGGAAAAACCAACAATCTTATTTGAAGTCGGTTGTTAATGTAGAATATAGTGAAATATGTTGCTTCAAATTAGATCAAGCAGATATTAAATTAATCTTTTTAAACTAATTACATGTTGTTATAGGCTGTATTATTATTGTTTTTAAAATTATTTATCATTTTTAAAATTATTCTTCCATGAATTTTATACGAGAAATTGACACAGAAAAGGAAAACAATGTTCTTAAATTGGACAAAATAAAGAAAAATAGTCCAAAAAGATATAAAGAATAACACACTAAAATTTACATTATCTGATTTTACAGTTTACAATTTACCCAAAAGACGTGAAGAATTCAAAATTAATGTTAACAATTGTAGTCAACTTAACCAGATGTAACGCAAGTGTTTTTACTCGATAATAAGTTATCATTATTAGAATTCCAGTTAGGTAATTCAACTTTAAATTGTACAAATTAATGGGAGATAGTACCGTTACAAAATCATTCCTTCAAGATTTTGTAACCGTTAAATCATAATATAATTGTTAAGGATAGTTGATTTAATGGTTACAAACAACTTTCAACGGAATGGTTAGCATGTTCCTAAATTAATACCATATTGTCCTTTTGGATGTTTTTCAAGTGATCTGATTTAATTAATTTTTGAATGAAATATATCTCGATAAGAATGTTAAATTTGATTAGATAGCTCACGCACGATGATAAGTAATGTTAAATTGTAATCATAATAAAACATTATTTTAGAAGAATTATTATAGTAAAGACAAAGTTTGAATAAGATTAGAACCTCTATTGATCCAATAGTCTTTCTATTTCTCGAATTATTACATGACACAAATAATCTTATGTAACTTGAAAAAAATTCTAGAAAATGTTTTCTATTTTGTCTCATAACTGATTGAGGTCTGAAATTGGTCTAATAGCTCTTCAATTTTAGCCAATTTGGTCAAATTTCGATCCCGGACGGTCGAAATTGGTCCAATAACTCTTAGATTTTAGAATTATCGGATCAATTTGGTCCAAAAAATGAGAAACAAAAACTAATAGACTAAAACTGCAATTTTTCCGAGAAAAATAAAGAGCTACAAGTTTTTTGAAGGTGAACAAATTGATCAATTTCCTTCAAAAAAATCTCTTTTGCATTGCTAATATTCTAGTTAATTTAAATAAATGCACCCATTGAGGAAAAAAAAATTATTTCTCCCGATATCGCCACCCATATGCCCGTACACGCAAGGGCATTGTTTCGAGTCCTTCAATCGAAGCTGAAACTTGCAGCGAAAAAGCCATTCTCAGGGATTACACACCTCACGAGCGGCTGGACTAATAGGGATTACACCCGAGGATAAGACGAGGGCATCCACCGGCACATCGTTTGGAGTGATTGGTATAACACCATCTTCCAATATTTGACGTGAATAAGAAAGAGCAACTGCACGTGAAAACGGGAAAAATATCGATATGTGAATGTTACTTTTGTACTGAAGAAATCGCAGATTCAAGGATGATACTAAGTGTAATGAATATGAGTAACATATAATATACCGAACAAAGGCTTCTTCCACTGCCGATCTTTTGCGAGCTCCTGATATTTTGTGAGGAAAGTGTCGTAGTAACTTCAAATGATTCAGATAAAGAAAGGTGAAAAATCAGAATGTGTATAGAACAAACTACAGAAAAGCGAAAAATCAAATTTAGGAGAAAAATGTAATGCTGCAATTAATACTTTGGCATCGAACGAATCTATACTATTATAAAAGTGCCAATGAATCTGTAAAAATATGATATGCCTAAAATAACCTTACTATGTAGTTTAATTTTCTAACATTCTACCAACAATTGGCTGGCAGCGAAGTATATCATAAAATAACCTTACTATGTAGTTTAATTTTCTAACATTCTACCAACAATTGGCTGGCAGCGAAGTATAGTTTGTACGCAATATAAACCTGCTTTAAAATCTAATTTATGGCCCAATCTTAGCGAAGAGTTTTAAAAATTTCAAACTCCATTTATTTAATTACATGCTTTTTGTTGCGTAAAAACAAAATCTGTATTTAAAAAATGAAATCAATAAAAAAAAAATGATAATAGCAGTCGTAGTGTTTATATGCCCAATGGGGTTACATGAATGTTAATTTATATGTATAGCTTATTATGCTATAATGCATGTTTATAAACCTTTAGTCAAATATATATAATTGTAAAACTATGCATAATTTATCATATATGAATACAATATTTTAAAATTAATAAATTAAGCTGTTAGTGTTTAATATATTTTTAATAGAAAAATTGTAAACACAACTACTCAATAAATACTACATAAAAAATAATAAAAAATCTTATATCCTCCCTATATATAATTAAAAAAACATAACTTTTCTCAATTCATATAAGCAAATCAATGAAAATAATATATTTTTAAAAATTTTATGAACAAAAGTTGACTCGACAATATTATTAATAAATTTATGAATTGTAAATATTTCATTAAAAAATTATAATTAAAAATATAATATAATATAAGATATAAAAATATTTGATATATAATGAGGCAGATGATCGAAAAAATTCTATACTTTACATTATGTCTTTTTTGACAAAATCTATGGTTAAGAAATGAGAAAAAACAAGATAAAGTTTTAAAAAAATATTAAATATAAGAAATAATATGAATAATAACTAAGTTGTGACACGTACTAATAAATATAAAACAAACTAATAAACAAAAATAATATA